CCATCCCCCCCACCAAAAACCCCGCCACAAGCCTCAAAATCAGACCCTCCACTCTTCGGTCAGACGGCAGAAAATATCCTCTACTCTACTCTACTCTACATATACAGTAGATCACCAAAGCACAACCTCCTAATCCTCAAAAAAACCAAAAATCCAAACCAAGTCAAAGACCCCCAAATGCCAATCAAGAAGAAAAAAAAAGAAGAAAAAAAAGAAAACCAAAGTTCCAAACGAAACAAATAAGTTAAACCCATCTAATGCGAACGAACTATTCCCTCAAAAAAAAAAAACTAGAAGAAATATACCACCATGATATCAAACACTATAAGTCTTACCAAACCTTCACTCTAAATCTCAAGTATTCACAACCGCTCACAGCCACTTAAGCTCTCACCCCCATCCCCATCCCAGATCCCACCACCACCACACTTCCAAAACCCAAATCTCAAATCCCAAATCAAGAAAACCACGAAAAAGGAATATCAAGTAATTTATATAATGATTCATTCAACACTGTACTGTGCTGTACTGTACATGCAATCCAAAGCTCCATCAATTCCATCATGACATGTAGAAGTACTCAACTCCCTCATCTACACACACCCACTAATAAACAAAAGCAAGTAAGAAGTCTCCATACCTACATACAATAACCCCCACCACAAGAATAAGTACCCTGCCCATCAATCCATCAACCATGAACCCCATCCTCCAACACAAAGCACAACACAAAGCAACCCCATTCCTCACAAGGCCCAGCCAGCTCAACACTCACATGGTCAAGTACATAGAAGAATGTTCGTCAAAGGCTTTTTTGTTGTTTTGTCTGTGTAATTGCTGAATTTGTCCATCCGCAACATACATTGCCAGCTTCTGCCTGTGCCTGCTTATGCTTATCATGCCCTAACAACAACAAAAAAAAGAAGAGAGACAGAGATAAAAGAGCCCAGAGGTAAAGGAGAGATTGAAGTATTCCTTGTCATGTAGTATCAATCCCAGAAAAATCATAACGTCATGGTTCCCCTTCCTTCACCATCCACTTTGCTTTCGCCCCCCATGTGTTCATTCTTTTTACTCTTCCCATTCATCACAAACCCATTCTCATCTTCTCCCTCGGAAGAAAAATGGAAGAAATGAAAAGTCAACGATCCACAAACTGAAGAACCCATCCCCCAATCCATCCCTTAATGCAGGCAAAAAAGCAAAAGTCAAAACAATTTCCATGTCCGGTTAGAAAGATTCCCCTGAACAAACGTCGATTTCGCGCGCAATGACACCCCCCCATTCCGTGGTTTCCCCCCAAACTACTCCTATCTTTAATGTCATCCCCTTCCATGCAGAAAACAAAAGGATTTTTGGCTCCTCCCAGACCCAAACTTCACATGTATAGCTGAACATTCTTGGCAGAAGGCAGTTGTTGAAAAGGTAACGAGATACCCAACTACCGTTCGAGTTCTTCCGTAGTTCGCCGAAAAGTGGGAATTCTTTTGGAGTCGGAAAGAAAAAGAGAAAAAGAAAAATCCCTCGACCCAATTTTGTGCAAGCCGGCCCCTCCCATATCGAGGAAAACTAGCAAAAATAAGATCCAACGATCAGAAAAATCATGTTACAAGAAGGCAAGAAAAAACCCCCAATGGTCCGGCGAAAAGAAAAAAAAAACAAAAAGGAAAAGGAGAAAGAAAGAAAAGCCGACTAATTACAAATTTCTGGTGGCAAGCCGTGGAAATCGACCGCCCATATGTTTTTATGAGACCCGAACCTTTCAAGTCGAAAAAAGTCTAGAAGAGAGATCATGAAATGTGCAAAGAAAAAACAAGAGAAAGAAAGAAGAAGAAAAAGAAAGAAAACGCAAGATTAATTCCACGCACAAAAAGCAAAAGTGCCTCCCTCAAAACCCAAAACACCAGACTGAATAGCCATTCAGACCATGCGACCCTGTGTGAAGAAACAAAGAGAGGTCTAGATATTCGCTGATGCCAACGCCGGTGTCAAAATGTGAAAAGAAAAAGTCGTAAAGATCGAGGCAGCCACCCAAATTAAGAGCGCAACGCAGCTCGAGATCGTGGTTGCACGCGTATCCGTTTTTATCAGCCATTTTTTGTTTTCCCTCCAAGAACATGAGAGAACAGGCAGCCGAATGTGTGAGCATTATCCAGCAGACCCCTTCTTTAGAGACCAGCGGATAAAGGCCCGCAAACGTAAATGCGCGCTAGTTGACGCGGAAAGAAATGAAAAGCAAACTTTTGTTGCGCTGCTCTAGGCACCGGGGTATTTTGGTTCGTACGAAGAAAAATTGGAAATCGAAAATTGTATGGGCGATGTCGCCGAGCTGTAATGGGTCTACCGAAGAATTCATGTGCTGTATTCCAGGCCAAAGGACGTAATCAAATTCTGATCATTATGCAACAACTTGTTGCCCGTAACCATGACCCATGAAGTACTGTTGATGCTTCATATGTGAGTTACAGCCGCCGCAGTTGCAATCAACAGCAGAGTGGTCCCAGATGTTGTTGTTGTAATGACCGTAATGGTTGCTGTAAACGGGCGTGTGGTAGGCAGCAACATGGGGTTGGGAGACGTAAGCAACATGGTTGGGAGCCTGATATCCTCTCGGGTATTGATTGAAGAGAGCCCAATCATTGAAGCGAGGTCCTCCTCCAGTCGCGCTCATATACTCGGGAGTGTTAAGACCAGAATCGGGAGCGGAGGGAGGTGTGAGATGAGGAGTAGGATAAGAGTTGGTGCTCCATGAAGGTTGATCGTAAGCTGAGCGGAAGCCGGAATGCTCCCTCGATGGAGTCTTGGTGTAAGCACTATAGTTTTGCGAGTACGGACGAACTCTCTGGACGTTGGTATCGATTGGAGCCAAAGGAGCGAGGCGTTCAAGGGTATGGGTGCGCTCGACCTTCTTCACCTCGCACCAATCATCCCAGCTTTGAATCCAAGCTTTGTAATCCTTGCTCTGCTCAAGGTTGACAAACAGGCTCCAGGAGATTTCCTCTAGCCATTGTTGCTCCAACTTGTTCAACTCAGCAACGGGAATACCGCTGACCTCGGACCACGATCGGTTTTGGAAAGTGTTATCGTCAAGAAACTTGCTTCCGAGAAGAAGACCGATGGTCAACATTCGCCAAACCTGGCCGTCAGTGGCCTTGAATGGACCGCGCTTCTGAATGTCGACGTGAATTCTGCGAGCGAGATAGTTCAATCCGAGGAGAATGGTCGCCTTTGGTAGTCGGGTTGACGTGAGTATTCCCGAGACGAACTTGCGGAAAGCTGGGGAGACTGGCGAGTTGGGGTTGCACAGTCGTTGGGCCATTTCCGCAACGTAGTCGGTCATCTGCGAAACCTCATAATCCAACACCGCACACACACCACCGGGAAGCATCTTGGGCAACGGGGGGTAAAGTCGACGTAGATCCTGTAGAATCTCGTCGAAAGTAATAAGAGAACCTTCTTACAATTACTGTGATTGATATGCGAGAAACTTTAGCGAGATGCTAGCTTGTTCGGAGCTGGCGAATCGAATTACGGTACCGGTGTAGGAAGTGCGAGGGCGACTCGAACGAGTGAGCAAATATTTCGGGGAAATTAATTTCTTGATGATTCCGCCATCAGTGGGGAGTAGTCCTCGAGTGTGAATTGGTCGGGTCCCGAAGGCTGAGTGAATGTTGACGATGCGTTGACGTAGAGAAATCAGTGCCAAAAACACTACACTCGCTCAAAGCGACTTGACCATGCGGCGATGAGATCTTAATTGAGCCTGGATTGGTCTTTTATGAAGATCTTGAAAAGAGTTAGCAATGGTTCCTAGTAGAATGTTGATGACGGATTATTGAGAGACCAGAGCAGGGCTCAACTCTGATACACCACACTCGGACTCTCCGCGCTGCGACAATGATGCGACCCAGGCAGGGCAGGGTACGAAGTACAGGAAGCCACAAGATGTGCAGAAATAAAAATGTGAAGGCAATGAATTGTGGAAATGGGTGTTTTGGCGGTGCTGGTCGTTGAGGAATGTTGAGACACGAACTGTCGGTTTGTGTTGACCGAGTCTTGAGTTGAAAATTTGGTCCAGGTCCAGGACCAGCACCAGCGCTCCAGCACCACCAATTTTTGGTCGGCTGTAGAGATCTGTAGAGATGGATCTGTGGGGATTTTGGAAAAGACGCGAAATAAAAAATGACCAACCTTTGTGCGTCGTTCAGTCTGGTTGCGGTCTGTTGTGCCGATCTGCTCGCAGCTCTATGCCCAATGTTTTGGCGGAAATCGGAAGGGAAGGAGGAAGGTTGAACCTGAACCTGACAGTAGAGCAGCAAGAATGAATTTACTGTCTGCCGTGCGAGTGCGAGGCGTCGTCTGGGAGATCGGTCGACGGAGGGGAGCGAGGAGATCGGTCTGGAGAGCGACAGAGGAGACTGTTGTGGTGTTGATCTCGCTCCAAAAGGTGGAAAGGAGAGTGGTAGCTGAGGAGGAGGAGGAGGTTTGTGTGGGAGCGAGGGAAGCGTTGACTTTTGCAGGGAGACAAGAAAGCACAGGTAGGACGACGACCACCGACGGGAGCAGGAATGAACGAGCGAGTGCAACTGTCCGACAAGCCCGTGCTGGGTGTGTGAGGGCAGGTGTGTGAGTGTGTGTGGGTTGTGGGTGCNCGAGCGAGTGCAACTGTCCGACAAGCCCGTGCTGGGTGTGTGAGGGCAGGTGTGTGAGTGTGTGTGGGTTGTGGGTGCTGGAAAGAGATTTGGCTGGACAGGGATTGGTGTAGTGGGTAGGGAAGGCAAGAGGGAGGCGCGAGGGAGAGCAAAGCCGCTAGGGAGATGCCGAGAAGGGGTGAAGGGGTGGATAGAAGCAAGGATGGGTTCTTGATAGGCAGACGCTCCGGCGAGGTCCAGATTCCGGGTTTGGGGCAGTTGGCGAGGTCAAGGTGCAGGGGGTATGGGTGGCCTCTGGCTGTCAGGGCTTTCTGGTGAAAGCCAGCGGAGGACGCTTGCCCCGTGAGAAGTGTGAGAACAGGGTACGCTGTCGCGGCTGGAACGCTGGGTGAACCGTGGAAGCACCCAAGCCTTCTGGCAGCTTTTCTTAGCCGTTGATCCGGAGTGTGGGTTTAGTGACTGCGCTTTAATAACACACCAGGCAACTCGAGACTGGGCACTGGGTCTGGCTTCACGAACTCTGCTGGGCCTTGGAAGCCCTGGGTCGAAGGTGGACACTGGAAAGTCCGCTGCAGCAGGAGCGCTGGAGCAGTCAAGGACTCGCCCTCCGTCTTCAGACTCCAAGGGCTTAGGGCTTCCACCAGTGAGGCAGGTGCAACGGGTTGGCTGTATGGCTGTACCTGTACGGGTTACTCTATGAGTACTCGGTCGCGTACATTGTATGGAGCCGCTGGCGACTCACGACAGCCGCTGCATCATCGACGGCTATGAGCTTCGGAATCGCGTCGCTGTTACGGTTACTGTTGCTGTCACCCTCGTGGGTTACCAATATAAACCACTGCCTGCGTGTGCCGATGCCTATGTCTATGTCTATGTCTATGCCTATGCCAGCCTGCCACTACCGCCTACCGCTGATCCAGGTTGGGAGGCAATGCAGATAGGTAGGTACTCTGATACCAGATGCTGATGACGTGTGAATGTTTCTGGTATCTAAGCCCAAGTTTCGATTCCCTTCGACTCGAGCTTCACACCGACGCCTCGGATCGCGAGGTTTCAATTTCTGCCACTTCGTATCCATCCGAGAAGCTTCACCATCCATCACTTACACATCCACATCATGTCCCATCCACCAGCATCAGCTCGGGGCTGGATCAGAGGGTGTGGCAGAGTCGTCTATTCCTCACATGTCAACAACAACACTGCCAGCTGGCGAGATGACGGGTACGAGATGGACTCGTCGCGGTAGCATCATCCATCTCATCTTAGGACCAAATACAGCAAAAAAGTTAACGTTTCCCGGGCACGTGTGAATTCAGGTAAATCTATCTGGAATGGTGGTTTGATAACTTTGGGCATTGCAGCTTGCCTCCCTTGGCTTGGGTCACGCACCCGTAGCCGGCTACCTGTACCGAGTCCTGGTGCTGGAAAATACTCGCCTGTTCCTGGATGAGGTTACTAGACTAGACAACAACACTACCATCCACTACCATACCACCCACATCCACACACGGGTCTTGTCCAGCGTCACAGACTCACACTCTCTACGGTATGGCTGTCCCTACTACGGATGCGTGTCGTGTCGTGTCGTGTCCTGTATCGGTGAAATTGCATCCTCGGTCTCTCTTGATGATCGCTTCATCAGGGGTTTCTCGCTTCCTCTCCTCCAACCCACCCTGCACCCCCCATCCAAAACTCCGTGCCTATCCAGGCGGTGCTTCGCGCCTCGTGCATCGTACATCGTGCTTCGTGCTGCAAGAGGCTTGTCCATCAACCGCCTTCATCTATCTCATATGGCCTTTCGGAGCAGCGGGTCACGGAATCTTACCCACTACTACTGGATGCACAAGACCTGTCTCTGAGTCGCTTCCCCAACTTTAGCATGTATCGACGCACACCAACCAGTAAGAAAAAATTCTCACGCAATAAGGTGCAGATGCCGGTGTGCGTCCATAGTCATCCTTCATCAGAAAAGCGGTGGCCATACACTAGCTCATTGGAGTAGACGAGCAACTTCATTACCCATCTCATCCCATCCCATCCCATCCCACTCCATCCCACCTCCCACGAATGTCACTCGTGTTCTCACTGGTTGGTCACTCGTCACCACCCCTCATATGTTGCCGTTATTACTCGAGTATGCTAGAGTATTATGGACAGCCAGCTTCCCCGTTGCACTGCTACCGATACTGCCAAATGCCCCAAAGTGATCAGCATAGGTGACCGCATAGGGTCGTCAACCTCAAGTATCGAGCAACGCAGAGTCATTGTGGTGGCAAATCTTTGGCCACAAACTGACGACACCATACCAAGCAGCTTGTCAGATCAGACTCCCGCCAACAGCCTTGAATGACAATAATTTATTACACTTCCTAGGCGGAGTTGCTATTCTGAGCCACTGAGTTATGCTGGACACGAACACGTCCGCCCAATTTGCGGGATGATGCTCTCTTCTCGTCACCACGCGCAAGCACCTGAACACGACTGAACACACTCAAATTAGACAACACCCGCCACAATAAATAAAAAACATGGCCGTCATCCGTCAAATTTCAATGTCTCCGATCTTCATCTTCTCGAATGTATCAGTCAGCCAGCCAGCCAATCCGCCAACCAGAAAAGGGAGATTACCGATGTGGTTACCCATCGCGACGGTAGACGGTAAACCCAATGACCTAATCAAAGGCATTAGAGGGTTTAAGTTTTTATTTTACTCAGCGAAGCTTGAACCCTTAATTTTCGTCAACGTTGTTGCTCAGGAAAAGGTACCAGTTTCGTGAAAATGAAGGGATCCCCGACCACGACCTTCGATACACAAGGACAATCCATTCCGGTTTTCGTATTTTCCAGCACCGAACTGGTGCTTCCGGCAGTTTCTACCCAGTTCAGTATTCACGGACCAGACGTATCCACGGACCAAGAATAACGATCAATGATCCACGATCTCATGTACAGTGCTCTCAAAAAAAACATACCCCTTCCCATCTCGCAAAGATCAAAATTTTTTTAGCGACGGCAGAAAGCGAAGGGGAAAAAAGAGGAGGTCATGCTTTCATGTGCATCTTTTTTTCTGTGGTTCTGGGTGCAGCAAAAGCCAAATTCCCAGGCGCCTGGAGCGAGTAAAGGAGCGGAGCTTTTCTCCTCTTCCCCGATTATTCCATTGAATTTCTCCTTGGATTTTGGACCTTTTCAGGCTTCAGGCTTCGGGCTTCAGGATGCACGTTGCCCAACCCCAACCCCATCTTTGTAACGCGTGCGACGCACAAGGCAAGGAGAGCTCTGGGCTCAGGTTGGGCTGGGTTGGCTTCGCTCAGATCAAGGGCAAGTGATCACGGAGATGATCGCCAGGACTCGCTTAGCCTCTCTTTTTGGTTCTGGTTCTGGTTCTGGTTCCATTTCAGCGATGACTACATCTTGTACATCTATCTAGAGTAGCCCTGGATTCACTGCGATACTGATTCGTATGTTGGTGTTGGTGCGATGACCAGATCAGTCCATCATTACTCGAATATTCTATTACGATGCTGATGGGCTGGCTTTGCACTTAATATTGTCGCCTCCCTTACTCAAGTACTTTTCCTCGTCCCACCATGTCACGCACTGCGGCGCAGCAGCCAGCCAGTCAGGTAGGCAAGCAGAGTGAGTGAACTCTGAACCCGACCAACCCAACCCAATCCGACTGACTCCCTTTTTTTCCCATGCATCCCCAATCCAATTTTTCCATCCAACCTCCTTCCTTTCCTTTGCCTTTTGATTCCTGAAGGTTTCTCGAAACGCCGATTTTAGCGCGTGGGCAAATCGGGGTTTGGAGGGGAATTTTTTTAGAGCCGTCTCTTTTCCATCCCGATTTCTCCATACGAGTACAGGCTACGGCGGTACGGTACATCAATCTGGGCACGGGGAGTTCTTTTTTAGAGGGTGGGGAAGGGCATGGGAATGGGGTTGATGGGGTTGGCATCGAAACGGCGAAGGTATCGCCGTATCGGTATCGGGTCAAATCGATGTTGTGGGTTCGCCGTTCGGGCAGTTTCCCTCTCCTCCCCTCCCTTTTTTCATCACGGCAAGTGAGTGGAGTGAACAGTGGTCTTTCGAACGTGAAAACTGCCCTATGAGAAGAGTGGAGGGCGTGTGTGGGGGTCGTGACGGTTTTTTATTCCCTTATGCGTGGTGCGGTGCGGTGCGGGCAGATTCCCGTTTTATGCTATGCCATGCTATGCCATGCGCGTTTGGAGGGTTGGTGGGACGTGCAGCGGTAGTAGTACGGTAGTAGCCATTTCTTTTTTGGCGACTCGACTTGGGAATTTTGAATGTGTGGTTGAGGAGATGTGGGGGTGTTGATGGGTAGGTAAATTATATGGGGATGGTATGTTGGAATTGGGTATACTTACTTACTGTATGTAAGCTGAGATTTTGAGGGTAGAGTAGAGTAGGTGGGAGGTAGGTAATTCGAGCTGGAATTGGGAATGGGAGTTAGGGGGGGAGAGGGGGGTGGAAATGGAAATAGAAACTTAGGTAAGGTGTCGTATAATATAATACCATCTTAGTAGATTATCTACTAAAAGGCTGGCTTACAAGTATATCGTATTCCTCGCGTATATCCATCAAGCTAATTTTGTATTATCTTACTACCGTGGTATACTTTATTAACTTTTATATTTTTCTTTTCCTACTGTAGTCTTTTTTACCTATGTGTTTATAGGGTGTTAAATATACCCTAGTACTCGTTACGCGAGATTCTACCGTATGGTTCTTACTCCCTTATTAGACGTATATATTAACTTCGTTTCTATTAAGCGGTTACTTGTAAGATCACCCCTCTATGCATCCCTTACTTGGATTGCATCTAGAATATAAAACGGGGGGAGATAACGCGCGCTTAAGCGGGCTTGGAGGTACGACTTGGATGTGGATGTGGGGTTTTGAGAGGGGAAAGTATAAAGGTATGGGGTTTGAATAGTTTGATTGTGTGTGGTAGTGTTTGTGGATTGTAAGCGGGGCCTGTGGACTTCGATGATCATGTGCTTCTATTGAGTAAATTTACATAGAAGTATGCTTCTCCTCTACTTGGTACTTGCTTACCCCTCTCCAGGTTTGGGTATGGGAATGGATTACAGATAGAGGTAGAGAGAGGGGTATAGTGAGAAAATGGAAATAGCGCGCGTTTATGCGGGCTTGGATGGGAACTTGATGCAGACATAAGAGAGGACAGTATGAAAGTCTTGAAGGTTTGGATAGTACAATATGATTATGGTAGCCATTGCGGATATTAAGCACCCTGTGTAGTGTGTGCTTTGATTAACCACATAGAAGTACTTCTCCTCTGCCCGGTACTACTTGCCTCTCCCTCATAAGGTCCGCAAATGGATGCCATAGCAGCAGGGAAATCAGAAGAGTATACCGAAAGCACGAAGCGTGTTAATTGGGGTTGGGTTGGAGGTGGGTATTTAATGCAGACACAAGAGGGGATGTATACAGGACTTGAGGCTTTTACTGTAACGGCAGAGAGGATAGATAGTTAAAAGCTGGGCTAGGCGCCGTTACGTAGACCACACTCTCAAAAACAAATCCATATCACCCACATCTAAATCTCTGATTCGCTACTCTAGCCAAAAATCAGGACCGAGACATAATAGTCAAGGGCAGTATCTAGATTTAATTGTACACCCTCTTTATGAAATTATGACTGTGGTGTTATTGAATTTGTGGATGTTAAATTCTTCCTTTCTTCTCCTTCCTCTCTCCTACTCGAGTGAAATACCTTACCCCTCAACAGGTTACCTGCCAAAAAATGGGTCCCAATCCCAGACCTATAAGGTACATCTGCAGACTGCAGCAGGATTCGAAGCAGAAAATAAATACCTCACGCTTGGTACGTGTTAAGCTCTTACTGTATGGTATGCGGCTCCATGTACACACACACATATACTTTCTGCATCCTCCACCCTCCTCGCGTCTCTGCTGTACATGTGCGTGAACGATGGGAACGAGGGAGGGAAGGGAAAGGAAAGGAAATGCCGCGCGCTAAGTTGGGTTGAGGTGTGGATATTTTGGTACTGTAGTTGGAGTTTGAAGCCCAATCCTTTTTTCCTTTCTATCTTTTTATTATTTTTTATTTTTGAGGTTGGTGGTTGTGGTTGTGGGTGGCTCGGGTGGATACGATGGGTATGGTATGGATACCAAGACAAGACAAGCGAGAAGTGAAGTGGGTAAGTGCCCGGTATTCTCAAAGCGGGTACCGCATCTTTTGCAGCGAAGAGGGGTAGCTGGTAGGAAGGGGAGGGGGGAAAAGAGAGGCGTGAGCTTTATTTGTGCGGTCTTTTGCAGATTGGGTCTCGTGGGGTTGATGACGTTGGGTGAGGTGAGAGGTGGGTGTACCAGAGTGTATGAAGGTAGTACTCTAGGAGAAGTTGAGAAATGGGTTTAGATGGGGTTGGGTACAGTTTCACTAGGAGAGTGTGAGATGATGTTCTTTTTGTGTTATTCGTAGGATCCCCTCTATATCTAGATGAATAGGAGTGCACATGCTTAAGATGGATGGTTTACTCGACTCGGGTTCGTATATACGGCGAAAGGGGGGGGGGATACAGTACAGGGATGAATTACCTAATCGGCTAATCGCGAAGCTACTCGCGCTCGAGGTCGCTATCATGAGCAAGTGGTACGGGATTTAGGTCCAACAGCCCCTGGGGCGCTTGAGAGGCTATTCGCAAACCTCGCAAGCGGTGCCCAGGCCAGGCTGCCTAGCGCTCAATTCAGGCCCAACTACAGTAATCATACGAAATAGGTGGCAAGATCGGGGTTGGTGGCGGGATTCAAAGAGAAAAGCCCGCGCTAGCTAGCGTATAAACAACAATCCTACTAAATCGTGGTTGTTGTTGTTGTTGTTGTTGTACTAAGAAGGACAGATAACTCGGAACAGGGCGTGTGAGGTGCTTAGTCACCCTCGCTACGCAAAACATATCATTTGAAGTAACATGTAATAGTCAGTACGCCTTCCTACTACGCTGGTCGCTTATAGTCAGCGGAAGCAAGTATAACACAGAAGCAAGTGCAACGTTGGGATATCGTTTCTTCGGGATATTAAATTACTACGGAACTATACCTAAAAATTATATATAACTATAACTAACTCCTAACCTATACATAACGTATAGACCGCGGTTATAGGACACGGTTATATAGTGATATAACTCGGCGACCGCCGAGCCTCTGTACTTAACTAGCTAGATAGTTTAGTTAGTTATCTAAGTCTCTTTTATACCTTTATACTATACTATATAGTACCTTTAATAGATAGTAGTAATACTCTATTACTATTAGATCTTAGTATATTCGAGTCCTTTACTAGCTATATCTTTAGTACTAGTCTACTAGTCTATCCTAGACTTATAAACACTATTCGATCGACCTCCGGGGGGTCTAAAACCCTACGCCTTATATTATAAAACCTTAATTAGTAACGACCTTACTGTCACGAATCACATGCTCACGTGATACTTGTCATAATAAAGAGGCGCAATCCTAGACAGGCACATCCAGGTTTCTTATAGCAAATAGGGATTGCTTAGGCCAGCTAAGCGATCCATGGATTTCATTTGGTTGTTGTCACGTGATGGACCCCGATATATCCAGGAGGGATCCAGAAGGGATCCAGTAGAACGAAGGTTCTATATAAGACTGGCACTTCTGCCATTAGATAGGAGCTTCGTGCTCAACTTAGTTATCAATCTTATCATATTAGTTTGACATCTTTGATACAAGTAACGAGTTCACTTCCAAGTGAACAACCCGATAGTCTTCTTCTTATCATAGCATACCAACCAGCGAACACCCAGCCAAGTTTAGTTAGCCAGTTTGAGTATTCGTTACACCTACGTACCTAACTCTAACTCCGGATTTATCTATATTATATATATATTTCCTTTTATAAATATCGAGCCGAACTGGCTCTACTTAGTATTTAAGAAACTACTCCCAGACGTTCTACTCTATATATATCTCGAGGCGTATATCTATAATTAGTTTGATTGTAATTATATATAAGTCTTTCTATTATTTTAACTATTTTATAAACTAGGACCTAGAAGAAGGCTCCTTACTACTAGCGATCCTAAGATAGTATATTACTAAGAATACTATATTATACGTTACTCCTAGACCTTACTTCTACTAATCGTAATAGTATTATTAAACAGCCTCTTCTTACGCGTTAGTTAGAACCTTATTGTTTCTATTATACTTGTTATATATACCGTCCTTATTAAGCCTCTTTTTATTAATCTACTAGTAAGTACTTTATATAGTAAGTACTTTATATAGACGCCTTAATTACGTAGAATATTTATACTAAAGCTATAGGTCTATCGTCTCTTCCTTCTCCTTATACCTATTCGATAGTATCTTAGAGATCGCGAGTCTATTTGTCCTAGGTTCGGCCGCGTCTAAATAGATCTATAAACTATAGTAGTAGGGTATTTATCGGTTCGAGGGGTAGAGATAAGTAAAAGATATATAAATCTAATATTTTTTTTAGGGAAACTTTAAGTATATAGGTGTAATTAAGTTGTTTTGTCAAGATGTAGTTTATATAGTGTTTACTAGCTAAGGGTGATCCTCGGTTTACGTTATACTTGTTTCCGCGTTACACTTGCTTCCGCTGACTATAAGCGACTAAGCGTAGTAGCAAGACGCACTAACTATTAGCTATACCAAGCACCATACCAATTCCGAGGAAAAGAACCTAGGAAATTTCTGCAGCCTCCGACAACACGGTATCAAAATACTTTTCCATGTTTAGTGACTAAAAGGATACTTAAGCTTCCAACACGTTGCAAAGGACTTCTTGTTTGGAATGAGGAGCGAGTTTACCTCGCTTATCCGCATTGTGTAATTTCCTAACCTTTGTCCTGTTGGCACCGCCCACGTTTTAAGGGAATGATGGTATTTTTGGGATAGAGATTTTTATTTGAAACACGGTGCGACGTGGGCTTTGGAGGGCGCATGTTTTTTGTGTTATTGGGGTTGAGTTTGGAATTCTATGGGTAATTGATTTTTATGGGATGAGTAGTTAGGTTAGCTGCGAAAGACCTTGTGGTATATCTTATAGTATACTGTATTTCGGAGTTTTTTGGTTGGCTGGGAATGACTAGGAGCTGTGACGAGACGGCCCCTTTGCCTTTAGCTAACGCGTTATGTAATTTTTAGCGTGTCGATTCGTGGTGGCCTTCTCGTCTTTCAATAGTAATTATCCTGCTTTTATTTTTATTTTTAGAACAAGCTGTCTGCTCAGACTACTACAGTCTAATAACAATTCTATACACCAAGTAAACGTTCATATATACACAATTAGAGAGGAAAGACTCGTATCATAGAGAATGCTGAAATCTTTCAAGTACTATAACTTGAGGGAAAATGATTAATGAAGCAACGAAGATGTATAGGCTAGGCTATTTGATGAGTAGATATCAAGAGCGTAGAGAAGAACTATATAGTGGAGATAGTTAGAAATCACTTTAAATAGCCAGAGAATGCACTTGAAGTGACCACAAATTTAACCTCGCCTCTTTGTAGATTAGGATTGCAAATGCAAAGTATATAATACAATAGGAATTCGTAGGATGGAATTAATTTTCTTATATGTAAAATTGATACGAGAATAATACACGTTAAGCAGCGAAGTACAAGAAGCGAAGAAACAAAATAGTTCCCAGACCAGGGAAGAAAGACTTGTGTAAAACATTTATATCTACCACTAAATAACAATAACAACAACCCATCCCTTTTATCCACCCCCAAACTCCAAATTCCAAACTCCAAACTCCAAGAGCTCTCCACCATTCCCACCAACACCTCCTCACATCTCCCAGTGAATCCCACCAGAGCCACCACCCCACCCCACGCATTTACAACGCACAATAAGCAGCCCCCCAGCAAATCCACCAATTACACACCTGTTGGTGGTGACCCTAGGTAACTGCAATGGCCTAGCGGTGCGAAGAGAAGGTTCACTGTACTAGCCTTGCTAAATATACAGTACTTATAAGCTAATCAATAATGTAAAACTCAGTACGAAGTGTGTCTGGTTTTAGGTCCGCGGCGCTCTTTAGATGGGAGTTGGATTTTTTTTTGCGGTTTTTTAGGGGGGAAAAGGGGGAAGGGAGAGGGGGTTTGAGGGTATTGATGTGTGTGGGAAGAGATTCGCCTAGAAAATTTTATGGAAAATTTATGGTGTCTGCTTTTCTTTCTATAAACAACCATGCAAAAACTGGAGACTAGGAGTGGTCTACCAATTAATCTCTTAACAGACAAAAAAAGGCAACCGAGATTCCTTCTCCTATTGGCTCTGAGCCTCCAACTATTACCAATATCTCGAATTTGGGAATCCGTCCTGATAGTCCCGATAGCCCGAGGATTTTCGATGGATCATTCTGGTAAATCTGATGAGCTAGGATCATTACAAAATAGTCTGACTGGACTCACGCTAACAGAAAAGAATCTCTATTCCCCTTGCTCTTTATGAAAGGCACTGGAGTCGCTTATTTTGGTACTGTAGGAGATTTGATGTGGAGTTAATAAATTTAAGAGTCGAGAAAGGCGGAAAGTTATATGATTGGGCAAACAGAGCGAGTATGAGAAGAAAGTAATAGAGGAGAGGCTTGATTTGGGGTTTTTTGATACAATTTTGAAACTTCGAATAGCGCAGACTTGAAAGTAAAATCATAAATTTCCAATAATGTACAAACCTTACATTCACAATCCATGTCCAAATTTTATATCCACAATAAATCCACATCTCCAACTACAGCTTACTCTGTCCCCCACCAACAGCCTTCATCAAAGCCCTTCCATTGCTCAAACACACCTTGCCTCCAGCAACTGAAGTGATAAATCTAATCTCCTCCCAACCATCTTTTATTTCGCCAGCGCGCCAGATCTCAGTGACCAACTTGTCTCCAGGCTTGACAGGACTAGCGAATCGAGCTTGGAACTCCTTGATATTCTTGGGGTCACTGCCACCCACTGATTTCAAAAGTGCGCGGCAGGCAGTGTTCCAGCTGAAGAGACCGTGTACGATTGTTCCTCCGAAGCCCATCTTCTTTCCAGGCTCCGGGGTGGCGTGGAGAGGGTTGTAGTCTCCGTTTAATCTGGTGAGTGTTAGTCGATGCCGAATAAGTTGAAATCAACAATCTCCCATATCCTCGAAAACAGGGAAGGAAAAAGGGAATGGCATACCTATACAACAAAGCAGTCTCCTCATTCGTCTGGACGCTCACCACAGCATCCGGCTTCTTCCCCTTTGGAGGAGGGAACGTCTGCGTAGCCGGGCCCTTGGGCCCACCCCAGTTTCCTTGGCCTACGAAGAAAGCACTCCCAACAATTTTCGTGTACACCTCTCCACTCTCCTTGTCAACAATGTTGAATTCTGTCTCGACGATACTTCCTGCCTTTCCTTTGTCATACACACCGATAACCTTGGAGCGCAGCTCGAATTTACGACCCGTGGATGTTGTGGGGAGAGGCTTGAGGAATTGGATGAGGCGTTGGCCGTCGACTGCGCGGGTGCTGTCGAATTCTGGGACGCCGGGGATGGGGTTCGATTTTTGGGCTGCGTAGAAGTCTATCACTTCTGGAGTTGTGCCTTTGAATGCTAGGGGTTTTGTTAGCTTGTATTCCGGACTTGAGAGGCGCATGGAAGCTTACGGAGGATGATAGGGTAGGTTGGGAAGACGGAGAAGTCGGGGTGGAGTTCCTGTATTATTGAGGGATCGGTTAGTCCATGAAACACTGGATTGGAAGGAAAGAAAAGGGAGTATATGTACATACAAAGAGGAAGTGTAGCTCATCTGCTGTGCAGCCAATGCTATTTGCGAAGAGAAGGACATCTCTCTTCAACCAAGCTACCTCCTGGGGAGGATATTCAAAACCTGCTCCTGGGCTGCTCATTTTGATGATGGAGGGTTATCTATTGAAATATGGGTCAAGTCGATCGTTGTAATGCGGAAGCTGAATGAATTGGGATGTGAGAGTTAAAGGATGTTGGATGTTGTTCCTTCAAGCTTTACTAAAGAGTTCCCCACTTAATCTTTATTCCGCTTAGTTTGAGCCGAGGTGTAAAATCTACCGACTTGGCGATTGCTTCCATCTTCTTGTCAACCAAAATAACACCCTTGGCCAATTTCCAAACCACATATTCCTTCTTGGGAAAGCTGTTCAACACCTGGCTAAGACTTGGTCGCAAATATTGAGATATGCTATCTCAACATATAGTCAACTTTCATTGGACTTTTATTGTGTTGATTGGTCAGAGTGTGACAGGTTGGCTTACATCCTCTACCCCATTTGCGTCATCTCACCGCCTAGCTGAGCATGATCACAGACATCATGTACCATTGTTTAAAGATGACTTGAGTTTCTTATTATGGGATGTGAGGATGGTGGGCTTGAGAACAATGCAGATCTTGTTTTGATAGACAATGTATCGTCCCTACATTGTGTCAGAGATTGAGAAGCGAAAAGAAACTTAGCTTTGGAAGTCTTTTGGCTCTATCAAATTACCGTAAGTGCAGATTCATCTGTACTTGTCCAATATTTAGTAATAATTCTTGATGAGTTGACAAAGATCTATTTGCCTTCTCTAGAAGCCTTCAAGTGAGAGCCAAAAAAAAAAGGTGATTACAACTTGCTGTAATCACAGCCAGCCTTTTTCTGCTCTGGTTTTACCTCATTTGGTTTAAGCGAATTTTTCTCTGTCCCAACGCTATTATCCTAGAATTCCTGGGGTACTTGATCTGATCATATCAAACACTTGGGCAAATTATATTCCGTTCTTTTGAAGCTTCGCCCAATTATTTCGATGGGTCAGAGACTTCAGGTGGTTGATTGGCTTTTATCGTTCTAAACTACTTGCATAGTTGCTCTTTTCGTGTTTCGAATACTTGGAGCAACCAGATCTCATCAGCCTCGCTTATTCGCAATGTTTATGTAGTCATTCAAGGCATCCTAGAAAATGCCACCTCTGCTCGAATTCGCCTTCAAAAGTGCCTTGAAGGGTGAACATCTCAAGTCCGATGCCTCGCAGAAAAGCCAAGCCTAACTCCCTCCTTTTCATTCAGCTGTAGTATCTGTATCCACTCAATCCTTCTGCACAGCCTTCCAAACAATACATATATTACCGCCTTTCCAGCCCTGATACAACTACTCCTTCTATATCATATTCTATCAACCAGATTGCTTTTCAAAGTCTAAAAACCCCCCGGAAAATGTGTTTCGGAAGCAAAGCCAAACTCAAGAAGAATCCCCCTCCTGCGCCAGTGCCAGTGTCACGACCTCAAGGATTCAACCAGTGGTTGGAGAGCAATCCTTACTATGAACGTCCTGGAGCTCCGTATGTCTTGATTTCTTCTTTCTGTGTTTCCACCTTGGTCTTTGCTTTTAACTGCATGGCATGTGATCCAAGGGTACTCCAAATGCAGCTAACATCCTTTCCGTAAAGGAAACCGCAGAAGAAACCATGGAGACATAGAGGTGGTCATGGGCCTCCTTACTATAGCTCTGATGGAGTTGATAGTGGAGGAGGTTCAGGAGGAGACGGAGGGGGTGGTGGGGGTGGTGGGGATGGAGGAGGATGTAGCTGAGAGGAGAATGACTGGTACGTGAGCCGAATACCGTCAAGTTGACGGTTAGGAATAAGGAAATGGAATGGTCATGGATAAACACGCGAGAGTACCCTATTAATCCTTTCTTTTCCAGACCACCGACTCGTCTCAATCCAGTTCACACATAAATCCGACCACCGTGACTTGAGATATTGTGTGCTTCAATTGTACCATTTATCCCTCTAGCAAGTAGCAATAGACTCGCTCCATGGCCGGTCTCTTGCTCACTTGCTGTTGTGTTATATAGCCTAACTTGACGTCTAGAAGTTTCGATGTTCTACCTCTTCGCACGACGACACAATGGCATACGCCACGTCCTCTTCCCGCAGGTTCATCAACAAGAGCCAGTTCTGATACACCCACTCAAATCCACTTGGGTTCTCTTGCAGCATCTATTAGATATCTTCTCTGCCAGTTAGACCCACGCTTCTCACTCACGTGTCTCTCCGACACAACTTTGCGCCGTCGTGAGAAACTCTACCGTATTATACCGGAAAGGTCAATGATCTCTCGAACAAAACCAACGTATAGATGACGGAGTGGAACTTCTTCAAACCATATGACAACCCTAATGAACCGCTTTTTCACCGCCCAATCGCCGTATACCATATTACAATCTCAGTTACGCCGAGTTCAAGTTGCTGCCAGGAGGATTTGTGGTCGCTCTTCTTTCACTGAGTAGCTAAGCGAGGGCCGGGGACACCATTCATCACAGTCTAGCTTCGTGTTTTGTCGCCTTCTTGCCTCTTTCTTAGACCATACCAAGTCTAGCTTATTTCTTGTTACGCTTTCGACCTGTCCTTCTTTTCTAGCGTCTCCTTCTAAATTTTCACCGTTGGCCTCCTTTGCCTGGTCTACATAGTGAGGTCCGCCTTTGGCATCCTGTTCTCAGGGTAGGATTGAACCTAAAGATGGAAAAGCTAGACACAACCACGTCAGTAATCATTGACTTAGAGCCACTTCAAGTCCCTGGTTTCGCGAAAGGAATATCGTATTTTGCTTTTCAATCTTCCGTCATTTAAGAACAAGGATATCTCAAGGGATGGCTGAGAAGTTTTGCGAATGATATTACAAGCTTCTCTTATATCCACCCCATATACGACATTTATCTGCTTCAAAACGGTAGTAAGATATCCAGTATCATGTAAGCATCCTTGAGTTGCACAAATGCGAGTAGCTGACTAGGTAATTCGAAGCTCAGACATCTATGATGACGAACAGATGACTCATTCCCCTCTGGGAGGTCTATCTCCCTGAAATTGTTGCGTTTTGTAAATGAACTTGATGTTTGCCGAAACGTGATGACCTCTAATAGAGACTCTTATGTTGAGAGTCGGTGCTACACTGACACGAGGAGAGAAGAATTGCTATGCTGAGTACAGTTCAGATCATATGGCTTTACATTGTAGTGTAACCAACCGTTAACATGAGACTATACGAATGGTAGTTAAAATAAAGTAGAAGAAACGACAGTAACATCGACTTCGACAGCAAAACCTTTGAATCTTCATTTGTAGTGCTCGGTGTAAATTCTACTTGGCTTGTGCTTCTGCAATCGAAATGTCTTCAACAAAACCTCTGCATGGCATTCATCATTATGGTCTCGTCTTGCTAAGGGTAATACAAAGGCTTGAGCAGTCTCATTCTTTTCAACATAACTTTCCTGCTACTTGCCTGTAATTTGGGTTACGAAGCTCAAATAAGCATTCCAGAAAGATGGTACGGCAAAGTCATGTAGAATATTATTAACACTATCGAATTCTCTGATTAACTTGGCCACTCGTAGATTAGTTAGATTTAGACGAGTAGAAGTACGGCATACCCTTAGGGTGGGCTTTACGCCTAGCGGCGTAAGACAAATAATAATAATTAACTTGGCCTTTTCTTTTTGGCGCGGTGGATTAGGCCCTTGGTGACACTAGTATACTAAGCTGCTTGATATAATAATCTCTGCCATAAGCGAAGGAGGAGGGAATCGGCTGCTAACCACTAACTATCTTTCGTAACAAAAGTTTGGACAACTGCACTAAATAATACTGTAAGTAAGTATCATAAGAGAATAATCGCGTCGACTAAATAGGTAAAAATTATAACTGGATCTCAAAAGATTACTATCCCACCCTCAGTGTCTGTCCGCGTACATAGATCTTTACGAACCCCCCGCTCATTCGAGCACTGTGGGTGATATTGATTTGATAATTATATAACGCAAGAGGATTTAAACGCCAGGGTATAACAACTATCACTGCCAATCAACTTACATGGTAGAGCAAACTCGATCACAACAGACAGCTACAGTACTTACCCAGGAAAATCTTGTAGACGGAAGTCCTTGTGTCTTGTACTCTTGTGAGGGATTAATTCATCAAGGTGTTAATAGGCATATGACCACGCCTATTTAAGGTGTTGTCGTCAGATTTGCTAATGCTGTCGATCTATCGATTCCGTTTAAACTGACATAGGTCCAAAACAGGATTTGTTCAGTAGCAAGGTTCCTCACGATCTGGCTTACTCAGATCTCTTGGGGGGTGTATTAATACTGCATTACCGGGAATGAACACAAGTATGTAAAGGCGTGTAATTTTTCTGGGTTCGCTTTCTGTATCTGCCTGTCCTTGAAAGAAGATGGCCTAAAGTTTGTTTTTATATTATCTCCTACCGCTGGAGTTGATCATACGGCTTCTCTTGAATTGTATAATGGAAGAATAGGAATTAGTCTAGAGTAGGGAGCTTTAACTTCGACATTGGCAAAGCTGAAGCGACAAGTATATTCATATGGAAACTATACTTTATTCAGAGATCCAATCTACGGCTTGAGAGATTAAAAAATTGCTTCGCCTTGCTAACTCGACGGAAAACCTAATCACCAAGCAAAACCACCACCATCACAGCCATCTCACCCCCCCAAGTATCACTCAACACCCAAAAAAGAACCACAGCCCAACAACACAAACACAACCAAAGACCATAAACATCACATACAACAACTGCACAAAGAAAATCCAGGGTTCTGTGCTGTCCAAACTTTTCCCGCTCAATAACCAGAAATCATCTAATGCATTCATATATGCTCTAAATATCTAAGATCAAGGCGACTCAGGAGAGTATGGGTAGATGTAGAAGGGGTTGAAAGTGGAGGATAAGTCGGTAACGGCAATGAGTGAACTTTCGACGGTAAGATGTCTTCCTTGTTATCGAGGGGTTGTACATAAGTTCGTCGGAGAGGGGTTGGTCTCTTTGGAAAATTGACTTTGATGTAAATTAGTGTCTGAATAATGAGTTGCCAGCTCCAAGATCCTGTGTATCGAACGCTTCCCAAATATTATCTTCCCAGCCATCGGCGAGGCGCGCCTTTTTCTTTCTTTCTTCATTCTTTAGTTGTCAAGGTATGTATTAAAAATTATGTTAGAGGGGAGAAGAGACACCCCTACGAGTTTATGGCTGCCCAATTTGAGAGGGAGACTTGATGGATATCCAACGAACTGGAAATTAGGTTTTGCAAACTAAAGAGATCTCCCTTACATATGTGATCTGACAGGCACACGTTATACCTCAGTATTCCAAGGTAGCGTACAACGCACTAGATACTCAGTCTCATGATCAACTGGTACCACAATCTTCCTCCCTACATTATCTACCAAGAAATCCCAAAGTACATTACCCCAACTCATCTCAACCCACAACCCCCACAACCCCCACAACCCCGAGAACAACTATCAATAACAATCCAAACACACCTCCACCCAAAGAACCCCCCCATCCCTCCCTATTCTCCCCAAAAACCCCAGGATATATATTCCCTCCCCCCTTCAAGAAAAACGAATCAAGATCACCCCCAAAAAGATAATGAAGTATATTATCTTGTATATACCCTCTACTCGTATACTCCCACAAGATTCGCCTTCGCAAGAACCCAGGAAGTAAAAAGATCCCTTTGTGTTTAGTTAGTGAGAGACTGAGAGTCTAAGATCCATTCTTGTATCCAAATCACCAGGACCTTTGCTGTCGGTTTTTATATATTCGCTGATATCCGAACGAACATTCGAAGAAGCTCCGTCATGGGTTGAAATACCAAAGCTTCGCCCAATATGTGTCAGAATATTTGGTGTTGGATATGTCTTCTCCTGTAAGAGAGGATTCCGATCCATGAATGGTAAATCCTTAAGTTATGTAGTCTACCGGTAACCATCTCTGTGCCCAGTTTTGCAGGAAATTAATGCGGTATGATTGATAAATGGATTGGGTTTTTTTAAACATGCCTTTTGTGGTGACGATGTTCAGATGCAGTCACAGGTTTACCTTGTGAGCTTTGGACTATTCTCTACTCATGGAGATAGTTGGTTCTTACCTATCTCTTCCTTAAAAACTCATTTCATGCGTTGAAGTTCACAAGGACAAAATCGCAAGATATAGCACTGACAAGGATGGTTTTAACTTTTCATGCATTTTTTTGTTCCTGTCTAGAAAATTTGGATAGCCCATAGAGTATAACCCATCCAAATGGAACGAACGGTATCTATAGTTTTTTGTGTCCTCCCATATTGTATAGTATTAAACCCAGCTGAAACCGACAACAACGCTGTTGTATCCGAGAGAAAATCCATGCTCCAAAACTTGCGCCGCTATATTCCTTTCTAGCCAACCCCATTTTTTAGCCAATTCATCAATACCTACTTCCTCGATAGACTGCACGTCAAAGGTTGACGATCCGACTCCTTCTCCGTCGCCTGATACCATCCTTCGTTGATTAAGTCCCTCTCCGTCGTTCTCCAATACTCGGCTTTGCCTGAACTTTTGAGATCAAGATCGCCAATCCTGGCTTCGACTTTACCATCACCTCTTCCGTTGGATGGATATTTCAGAAACACGGTGCAGTCTCTCAGTGTCATGGCTAGCCGGAATTTCTCATCTTCAGGATCAGCTTTGAAACAACCCTTTGGATCGAGTTGAATTTGTGCATGTTTGAGGCGCTTTAATAAGGTATTCGATTGCAACCAATGCTTGAACCGAGGCGCTTTTCTTGCGTCAGGTTCCAGTTGTGAAGTGATGCGATCAATGTCGGTCGTTTTTTGAGACACAAAATCCAATGGACAGAACGTCTTACGACTTACATCATGACCACTACGAATTGCTTTTGCGTTGGCACGAGCTCGTTTGGCGCATTGGCGACAACGTTTTGCGTTTGTAGGGGCTGAAGGAGATTGAACAAGCCATTTAGGTTTGAATTCCATCACTTCTTCTCTGAGAGGTCCTGATTGAATCAGCAATGAACGAATGAGATGTGTTGTCTACTTACCAGGGGTCATATCGGTAACCAATAACCCATGCTCGTCATTGGCTAGATATATCCCATGGCGTTTGGGAGGACGTGCCTCGTGGGTATATATTGAATTTTTGGAAGTAGATCTGGGCTTTTCTGATTCTACAAGCTGTTTATTCAAGCGTTCAATCGCTCTGGCGGGACGAAGCTGGACTAGAAATTGATCGACGAGTTGTTCTGAGCCGAACATGGGGACGATAAGACGGAGCCAGTTGGCTTGAGAAACTGCACATGGTAAGGTCGTCGCCAGGTTTTTGCGAAGACGAAGCAGCTTGTCTAAGAAGGGTTTAGTGTATGATGTTTTAGATAGGGAACCAATGTGTTGTCTTTGGAATGTAGCTGCTTCATATCGATGCAACCTCGACCAATATGCACCATGATTCTGCTTGCACTGATCAAGTAACTTACTGTCAAAGATCTTCACATCTGAAGCTGAAGCGATTGGCTCATCGGGGTCCTCAATCTCGATATCGGTAGGGGGAGGTGTACCTTCCCCATACTCTTCCACTTGGCTCGGTGGGGGCGTGGGGTACGGGACCGAAATGCGATAGACAACATTTGCCGCACCCTCGCCCAAGTAGACCAGGGCTGCTTTCGAGGGCAATGTAGGAATCGGTGGCACCATGATTTTGGTTGTTGACGGTTGATATAAAACGATGAAAGAAAATTTGTATGGATGTTCATGCCAGAGAGCAATGATGTAGCTCGGTCGTCGCCAATCACGGGAGCCCGTACCGTACACGGTTAAGCCAACCGGTTTATTGGTTGGCACGACTCAACTGAGGAAGGAACTACCTGGGGCGGCATTCACCAGCAACAATACTCGCGATTTTTCTTGTTTACTCCCATCCAATTGAACATTCATAATAAATAAAAACTGTTGCACGGATTCTTCCATGGAAGACCTCCCCCCCTATTGCCTGCATTGTTGTGTCACGTCTCCCAAAGCCTCCAGGCGAGGTGCAGGTGCAGGTGAATGTGTCTCGTAGGGGTGTCAGTTGACTACAAGTCATTGTCAGTTCATGCCAAGGTCATGATGATAAGCTCTACTTTAGCGTGATGGACTGACCAGATGAACATGAACCATGTCTCTTTTGATGAGGAGTCATCCAGCGAGTTCTGAGGGTTATATACATAGGCGCAAAAAAAAAACAGTCTTCACTAAACTAGAATGAAAACCCCTTTGGAAGATGGTCGACATTCGTTGTTCGCTCAACGACGAAAGTCTACTTGGTAACCTATGTTATTGAAGCGAACCGAGAAACAAACAAACCCGTGTACGAGTCCTTCGTGTTGACCTTTGCTGCTGTGGAAACAAAATCAGTTTGCACTAGATTACTCAAATATACATCGTGGACATACCGAGAACCCAAGCCAACGCATTCGCAATTTTGTCCTGACACACTATAAATAAATACATTTGTTGTGAATTACCAGTCTCGGCAAGCACAAAAAGATGGGTCGGGGATAGAGTTTGGACGTCACGTGGCACGCACCCGGCGGCAGCGTCATTTCCTCGCATCCGCTCCGGGATCCACCCCGACGTGCAAATCCCTTTCTTTAGCATCAAGTGGAAAGCTTTGAAATATATTTGGTACCCACAACACCACCGCACGCCCACCGCTAATCACTTTTCTCGACAAAATCCCACCTCATAATCGCGCCACTACGTACGCCAACCTGTCTCTTAATTGACCCGACGATTCGATTCCTCCTGCGCAACGCTTCCACACGACACGGTCATCTACAACTTCCTTATCACCCCCAAACCAAACCGGGGCCCGATCAAAGAATCCTCACGCGACCGAAGACCCCGAAAGACACCACCACCACCACCACCCACCCACTCACGCCCGCCCTTCAACAGCGCATCGTCTGCGATCCGATCTTCTCACCGAAGAGAAGATTGAATCGTATGCGTGATACTCCTGATGCCACGACAATAAGATGGCGTTCAACTTTAACTGGTCGCCGTTAACGGCGGACGCGGAATTTTACAAAAGGGCCCAGGAGATGCTCACAACAGCTCTCAATAAATCCCCCAAACCGCCCATTATCGTCGACGACATTCTTGTCAATGAACTCAACCTAGGCACGACTCCGCCCGAGTTGGAGATATTGGAGATTGGAGATTTGGCAGAGGATCGGTTCCGAGGAATTTTCAAAATGTGCTATTCTGGTGATGCCTTTTTGACTCTCAAAACTAAAGTGCAGGTGCGTCTCAGCGATCCCCCTTATCCACCTGCTCTTTTCCAATCTGGCGCTTTGGGACGATACGGAAGCTTCTGTTCCTGTCCATTTGCATTGAAAATGATTTCTACGGATCCACTGGCGGAGCTTCCCCACATCATCCCAGTCATTATAGAAACAAAAAGCTAATATATCAACAACCTAGGCGAATCCCCTCAATACGTACCTGTTCTCGAAGCCGAACTTTACATCACCCAATCCACTAGCTGCATCATCGGGATTGACAATACCCCTCCAAATTACCTTGTCCGAAATCAAGCTCTCCGCTTTTATCATATTGGTATTCTCAAGACAGAAGGGCCTGACTCTGGTGTTCCGCAATGATCCTCTTGAGTCTCTCAAGGTCTCTTCGACCTTTGACTCGATACCGTTCGTTCGGGATTATCTTCAAAGTGAAATCGAAAAACAACTGCGGACATTAATGATGGAGGAGCTACCAGCCATAATACATAGGCTTTCACTGAGGCTATGGTGCCCAGAATCGGGTGTAAAAGAAGAGGAAGAAAGGGCGGAGGCAGACTCTCAAGAAAAGGAAGAAATTGCAATTAATCCGTTGGACAGCCCACCACAGGATGCAGTTGACGCGAGAGGCAATGTGTTAGACGCTAGTGAGATATCTTCGTTGCAATTAGATGGAAGCTCTGATACCCAATCTTTGTTCTCGCAAAAGAACCTGCTGAAGCTTTCAGCGTTGACGGACTCGCATCGGACTCTATCTTTGTTCACACCATCTATCAGAGATGCGGTATTCAGAGCGTGGGCTGGACCACCTGCAGAACGCGGAGATACAGCCGGTAGTTCCACTCCAAGTACTCCATTGGTAAGAAGCCACAGTTCAGCACCGAGCACAAGCACGACATATACCTTCAACAAATCCTCCGACGATGGACTTGGTCACATGCCTTCACGTCCATCGCTTGTAAGTCTGAACTCTGCGACCACAGGCCTGGCTTTAGGTGCGGGTCGACATTCCAGGTCGTATATGCGCAAGAAGAAGAATAGGGTTGTAAACCTCCGAAGGTCCAAAACCACCGATGATGTGCACAGTGAAAACGGGGAAAGTGAGAACACAGAGGTACATGTTTCCGAGCCTTCATTCTCAACATATATTCCGGAAGAGCCGGAAGATGGTATCGTCACACCTCCTCCAAGTCCTACTGGGAGGGTTCGCTTCCGTACCAATAGTATTGATCTTGGAGACTCGCCACGAAAACTGCGCCCGGTCAGGCCAGTCTTAGAAGCCGCCCCTCAGATGGCGGAAGCTGCTATGTCGAACTTCTCTCGCGATAACCGACCTTCATACGCAAACGCTCTTTCATATCCAGAAGAGAAGACAACCAAGCCTACAGCTGAGGAGAGCTCCAATGTGCAAAATCGCCCCTCTCTCCAGCCTGCCCCAGTTCTAATCGACTCTTCTTCAGCCGGTGGAATTCTGGAGCAAGCATGGGTTCTGAAGATGGCTGGTGAAATAGCCCGTCGTGCTCATGACGAAAAGGCTGCCAGAGAAGGTTTCTGGTCCTCGCAAAATCAAGCAATGAGGGCGGGTTCGCCGCCTCCAGCATATGAGCCCAAAGCTCTATAAAATCACACAACTCATCCCCATCTCGGGATTTTACATTTTTTTCTTTTTTGTCAAGACAGATGCTTCTCAGTTGCATCATTAATGGTGTACCACGAAGCTGGTACACACCACCTCACTCATTCATATTTCCTTGATTGATTTTTTTTTGCTGCGTTTTAGCGTTGATGGTTTTTCTCCCTTTCACAAAAGAAAAACTTTTTTAAACTACAGAGTCACTCACTCACTCACCTCCTCTTTTATGTTTAACTCAAAAAAACCAAACGGGGAGGTTAGGGGTTGGAGAAGCTAGCGGGACTGGCCTGGGACATATTTTTTGTTACTGGGCGTCGGACGTGGAACGGATTTGGGGGATACGGATAAAACGGGGATATATTTTTGCAGCACACCTTTTGGATTTCAAGCGGCTCAATAATGGGCGGGAACGAAGAATGATATGAACCCTATTCTGGGAAAAAAAAAAAGGTTTTTTTTTTATAGAAACAAACACACTGGACAAATGACTGTCTGGACGGTACGGATTGTGTATCACTGGGCAGACAGACCAGACCTCTTTGTTCTTTTCTTTTGTCATGAAGACTACTTGGAGATTAGAAAGGAAAGAGGAGAGAAAGGGTTTAAATAGAGACACGGGGGTTTTTAAGGATCAATGAGGAGGGAGCCGTGAATTGGAATCAAGAGATATCCTGCAATTTTTTGTTCTTCCTGCTTTTGTGTTTACTGTGATTATTAAGTGATGAAGTGATGAAGTGATAAATATTAAGACAAGAGAAGCTTCTCAGTCTAGCTAAGGACTAAAATACTTTCCAAGTTTGTCTTAATCTAATGTTCTTGCTAAGTAAGGATCTCGCTTAAGGCTATTCTCTTAATTTTAGGTAAGAAGGATTTATTCAATCTTAGTATAAGAGTCTCTAGGGAGACTCTTACAGCCTTCGTGAGGTCTAGAACTCGTATCGCCTTGTATACCCGGAAGATACTCGGGCTACCTCTAACCCCTGTAAAAGTGCCCTATGCCTCGAAGACCCTAGATATCCTGAAATAGGATAAATTATAATTCTTACGCTAGTAAATAAATATTCCTCTTATTAATAAAGGCGATTTTATTTCTAATTTTTTATTTAACTCTTATCTAAATTAATCTACTACTTATTAAGTTATATCTAAAAAGTTATATTATAATCTTAAAATATACCCCTTTATACTTAAAGTCTATTACTATTATTGACTATAAATCGTAATTTATTAATTATTAGCTTTATTATAATTAGAACTACTACTATCTAAACCCAATCCCTCTTTGTCCGAATCTAATAGATTCTAACTCTATACTTATATCTTTTCCTTTCTTTCACTCTTTATAGATCGGGTACTTATTCTTTTATCTTATTATTTAGCGCGTATAGGAGTTAGTAGCCGCTTACCTAGAATCCTCTTACTACTAATCTCTACTACTATTCTTTACTAGCTTATTAAACACTTAATTATAGGCTAATCTATAGTAATATTACTTCCTCTTTAATTATAATTGATTTTAGGCCTTCTTCTTTTAACTAGCTTAGAAAGTATAAGTAATTTAGATAATCGCTACTTTGATTTATTCCTTAAACTAGCTAGCCTTCTTTATAGTATACTAGAAGCCTTAGTAGCCTTTTTCGCCTTTTTTATATTTTTTACTTTCTTAATCTTCTACTTTTCTTCTCTCTTTTCTTCTAATTATTCTATATTCTATTCCTATATTACCTCGAAAAGAATATACTAGAAGTCCTAATACTATAAAAGTAGTACTACTTTTCTTACTTTTCTACTCTTAATAACTAGTTATAAATAACTCTTTATAATTTTTTTAATATAGGAGACTAAGAAAAACATATATAATAATATAAGCTAATAAATGTTTATCTTCTTATACTACTTCTATAACTTATCTAGAGCTATTTACTCTAAGAGGTAAGAGGTTTTTAAGCTTTAAACCTTTTAAATTCTTACTTTTAATTCCTTTTTCTTCTTTTATAGTATTTCTTAATTATATAATCCCTTTATCTAATAGTAATTATATAAGCTTCTAGGTTAGATTTTAATAGTATTTTAGTATATCTTAAATAATATTAGCCTAGTAAGTAGTTATTAGGGTTATACTAATTACCTACCCTAAGATATACTAGAAACCTCTTATATAAATATATAGACTATAACTAATTAAATATATCTCTCTTCTTATTTCTTAAACTAATATATATTTTATTCTTACTAACTTTAAAGCTACTTTTAAAAAGCTTTTTATAGCTATTTAGTAATAAAAGAGTATAAACCCCTTATAAGATCATATCTTAGTAGTAATAACTAAACTTTTATATTATATTAGAAATAAAGTATAGCATACTAATATAATAAACCTAAATAATATTAGAGTAGTTTACTTTTATACTAAATATATCTAAGGCTATTATAATAAGGTAATACTCTTTTCTAAAGTCCTTCTCTACCTTCTTTTTATACTAATTAGTGTTTACCTCTTGACTAAAAGTATTATAAAAGAGTTTCCGAAGTTACTTTATATAAAGTTCTAGTTATTTCTTATTATTAAAATAAATAATACTTTTCTAGATTCGCCTTATATCCTTTATATTTATTACTTCCTTAATAATAAAGTTAATAATAGAAGCTTTACTAGTATTTTTATATATTATAGAGAAATCTATAATATAAATATTATAAAATAAGTTAGGCTAGTCTAGATCTATTACTACTTCTTATTATTTTTTAATCTAAAGGGATTTTATAATAGTACCTTTTATAAGAATAGATATAGTTACTAATATAATAACCTAAGAGATATTATCCTCAGAATAACTTTAGACTATTTTGCCTCGTATATTATAGGATATTTAAAATTTGGAGCCTTATTTAGCTACTAGATAGCCTTTATCTACTATATAAAGTAGGATTTATAACTAGAACTTTATACTCTTTTATAGTATTTTCTTAGCCTTACTAGATATAAACTTCTTTAGACTTAAAAAACATATTTATACTTACCTCTATAAATATCTTCTAGGTAGTTACTACTTATAACTATCTTATTATAGAAGACTATAAGTAGTATTTCTTTGTTTACTTATATATTAATCTCTTAAACTTAATCTCTTATAAGAGTAGATAAGAGCATAAAGATAATTATAATATCCTATCCTTTATTTAGTAATCAGCTCTTTTAATTTATGATATATAATACTTAAAATAATACTAACTTACTCTAACTAGTTCGAGCTAAATAAAGTACTAACTTATACTAGGAAAGCTAATCTAATATATATATTTATATCCTTCGAAGCTACGAAATCCTAAGTACTTTTTATAGCTCTATATATTACTAGTCTATTAGATTATACTACTAGTCCTAGGGAATAAACGCCTTTATTTACTTCCGAAGTTACTTAGTTAACTAGGAATATACTTTTAGTTACTTTCTTAGAATTTATTTTAACTTACTTATCTTTTTTATTTATATCTTCTTTATTCTAAATACTAAGTATATCTTCTATAATCTCTAACGCTTTTTTATCTACTTATAACCCCTCTTTATACTTCTTTAGAGTTATTCTATAATAGGATTATTCCTCTTCTAAATCTCTTAAACACTAGTATTTATTATTTTAAGTAGTATTATTATCCTTCTTATTACTTATATTATTATCCCTCTAATTACCTATATTATCTCCTTTAATACTTAATCCCTTAATAAGATACTCTTTAGCCTACCTTTAAACTATATTATTATTTAATTTATTATTATCTAGTTTATTTACTTTAGTATCTTTGTCTTCCTTTTCCTTAATAGCTAGAGTTATTATAGGTAATAGTAGAATCTTAATACATATAATTAATAATTAATAAACTTAAAAATTATAGTTCTATTAACCTATCTTTAGTTTATATAGTTAGAAGGTTAAGTCTTATACTCTAAGGTTAAAGTACCTACTATAACTTAATAATACCTTAATTATAATACTATACTATATAAATACTAGTAGGCCTATACTAAAAATAGTAATTATTTAAATCTAAGGTTACTTAATAATTAATAGTTATATTAAAGTATATAAGGTAGAGAAAAACACTATATATTAAGATCTATAAAATTTATTAAGAGTAGTAGTACTTATAGATTATATTCTAGGTAGCCTTATTAAAGTAGAAGGCTATTAGTAGTACTTATAGATTATATTCTAGAAATCTAATAGCTTTATTAAGTTAAGGGTTAGTAGTAGTACTTATAGATTATATTCTAGAATTTAGATAGGATTATTAAAATTAATTATTATTAATACTATTAGTAGTTAGTTATTAGAAGAGAATTATAAATATAGAAGAGAATACTAACCTTTTTATAAAAATAGAGAAAATTTTATATTTATAGTAAAGTAAGAGTAATACCCTACTCTTCTACCTCTCTCTATAAACCTAGTATATCTATAAACGTAAGTAATACTATATTGACTCTATTTATATATATACTATTAATAATTATTTAAGCTACTCCTATAAATAGAGTAATATAAAAAAGCTTATATATATTATTCTTAAGAGTTTAGTAGTATTAAAGGGTATTTTAGTATATAGTTATAAGTTAACTAAGAGTATAAGTAAGTTTAGTATTTTAATAGTATTATAGTCTAAATATTATTTTAGTTACTAAGTAATACTTAAAACCTTAATATATAATATACTAGGTATAAATTATTAGAGAAGAGTAATTAAATAGTACTATTATAAGTAATATTATTAAGAATCTAATATATTCTACCTTAGTTAGCTATTAGAAGAGAGTATTTTGAATAACTTAAAGAGATTTTAAAGAAAGAAGTTATTTAAAGAAGATAATTTAAGATAAGAGAGCTTCTAGTAGGCTAAAGTAAAAGTTTAGATATAAGATTAAAGGTAGAAAGTAGTCAAAATAGACTAGTTAATAACTTAGTAGTCTAAGTACTATAGATAATAGAGTA